CCCGGTGGACCCCCCCAGCCAGTGACACCCACTGTCCAGGTGTTTCAAGGCATTGCAAGTGGCTCCGCTGTTTGACAGCAATTACTGCCAACTCTAGTTTGCCACACGGGCACTGTTGTCCCTGCACTGCCAGGGCCAGGGAAATGGGGCTCTGGGCTGGCTGCGGAGAGGCTGTGCACATGGGTGCCCCCCAGCCAGTGACACCCACTGTCCAGGTGTTTCAAGGCATTGCAAGTGGCTCCGCTGTTTGACAGCAATTACTGCCAACTCTAGTTTGCCACACGGGCACTGTTGTCCCTGCACTGCCAGGGCCAGGGAAATGGGGCTCTGGGCTGGCTGCGGAGAGGCTGTGCACATGGGTGGGGGTGCTGGACTCTGCTGGGTGCCCCCAGCGAGCCACACTAAGGAAGTGACACAGGTTCTCAGGGTTGGCTTTTTCTATGACTGCAAACTCGCTTAGCAGCCACTTCCGGGCAGAGGACGGGCGCTGTAGCAAAGCAGCCCATGGCCAGTTGGCTGGCGAGGGCAGTGGGGACTGGGCCGGTGAGCAAGGGCAGCAACGAGAGCTGGGGGTGGCAACGCCCTTCCTTCCTGCTCCCGCTCCTGCCACTGCAAACACTTGCTCTCCTGGACACTGAGCTGAGGGGCAAAGGGCAGGCACACCCTCCAGCCATGCTGCAGAGGCAGCTGTGGCCAGGCTGGTGAAGCTGGGCCACCGGGTGCTAGGAAGCCTGCGCTGGAGGTTCTGTCGTGCGGAACCTCCCGTTGTCCTGCCAACGCCTGCGGCACAGGCCTCTCCGTGCGTTGCAGGGGGCTTGGACTCTGACAGCTGGGGGCTCCCTGCCTGTATTGCAGCAAAGTCCGTCCCCGCTGGTCTGAGGAACCGGCCTGGCAGCTCCCACCGCTCTGCCAAGCAGAACAAGTACTAGCGAGGCAGCCATGTTAGTCTGGGCTGGCTGAAACAAAAGGCAGGACGATGCAGCCCTGGAAAGACTAACACGATGGTTTGTTAGGGGATGAGCTTTCGGGGGCCAGACGGAGGAAGTGGGCCAGGCCCGGAAAGCTCATCACCTAACAAACCATCTTGCTAGTCTTTCCAGTGCTGCATCGTCCTGCCTCTTGTTCAAGCAGAACAAGGGCCTTCTCCGCAGCACACACCAGGGGGCGTCCGTGCCTGCAGTTTGCTGGGCTGCCTTGTAACCTGTGGGCGGCAGGATCCCGGGATGGAGACAAACAGGATTCTTCACACCCCGCATGGTTCCTGGGGGCTGCACCTCCCAGCCCTCCAGCTCTGCGTTCTCCCCGGGCCCTCGGCACCATCTGCGGTGGCTTCAGCAGGCCAGCCATGTGTGCAGACCCCGCGGGGCAGGGACAGGGGTTCCCAGTGACCAGGCAGCCCCCTTTCAGCAAAGCAGTTCAGAGAAAACATCTTAGAGCAACAAGCCAGCCTAGGTGCCTGGCTGCCCAGCAGGACCCCCCTCCCTGCAGCTCTGGGGATGCTCGCTGCTTCGGGTTCCTCTGGAGCCTGCGGCCTGGTCAGCCTCTCCCTCACCAGGCTCCCCATGCCACTGGGCAAGTTAAGCTGCTCTGTGACTCAGTTTCCCCCTCTGTCAGTTTCGTGTGCTTAGGGCAGGGACTGACTTCCCGTGTCTGAGCAGCGCCCCCGGCCACAGAGCCCAGATCTTTGTAGTGGCCTCTCGGGGGTATAGTGATACAAAGCCTCACGCAGCACGTGGAACCTGCTCATCTGTGCTTCTAAGTCCAAGTCCAAGACCCCAGCCTGGAGTGCTGAATGCATTCAGCGTGTGTGCGTTCCCCTCCCTGGCTCTGTAGCCCGTGGCATGAAGGGACGCTGCTCCAATGAATTATCATTGTAATTTGCACTGATTTCCCATGTCACTTGGCCCCGAGACCAAGCTGATTTTGCTGATTAGGAACAGGCGGTTGAGATGTAATGGGACATTAGCCGTAGGCATGTGTGCATTGGAAGGAGGCAATAACCGGCACAAACAGCCCGCACGGGAATGCAACTTGCACCTGGCTCGGTGCCTTTCCTGCCAGCCCCAGGTCTGATCCGCATGTGTGAGGAGGGGAGCAGCCTGTGAGAGCAGGAAGCAGAGTCTCCTCCGAGCACGGGGATAAGACCACAAGTCAGTGACTTAGGCCTTGTCTACACTTACCAGGAGATCAGCGCGGGGATCGCTCTCTTGACCCGTTACATCGACCACTGATCGTGCTCCTGTCAGCACCGGTGCTCCAGCGGCTTGTGAGGAGTAAGGAAGTGGATGGGAGAGTTTCTCACGCCCCCCTGCAATGGGAACACTGTAGTAACTTGAACGAAGGTACGTGGATTCCAGTTACGCTGTTTACCTAGCTGGAGTTGCATCCCTTTCGACAGGCTCAGCACTGAGCTAGATTGGCTCACGTTCTCTATGCTCACCTGAGCCTCGCAGCCCCCTGCAGCCAGTGCCGGAGCATCACGGAGCAGTGGCATGAGCAGTGTTAGCTCGGGCACTTGGCTGCCAGCTGGCCGGCGTGTAAAGCGGCACAACGGTGGAGCTAGAGGCTAGGGGAGGGGAAGAGAGGCAACGCTGGAGTGACCCCTCAAGCTGACACTGCAAGGAGAGAGCAATGGCCTCTCCCCCCTTGGGGCAAGGGCCAGCGTTGTGTGTTACGAGTGTCCAGCACATTGGGACCCTGGCCACCCTGGCTAGCCCCAGCATGCTTTGCTTCCCTGGCAGGCTGGCCAGTCCTGCTGTCACCCCACCTCTCTCGAGTGCCAGGCTCTGTGTGTGGAGCCTGGCTGCTGCTCTATGCACACGGGAGGGTTTTGTGCTGGTCGTGCTGAGCCAAGTGTTGGGAAAGATGAGCTCTCATATGTATTTCCCTGGGTTCCGGTCCTGCCTCTGCCACACACTCCCAATGTGACCCTGGGCATGTCACTTAATCTCTCATCATCTGTACAGACAGGGCTGTGTCCTTCCTCCCTCCCTCCTACCCCTTCTCCATCTGTTCACATGGCCTGGAAGCTGTTTGGGTCGGAGACGGTCTTTTGCCAGGTGTCTGTCAGGGTGGGAGCTAACTCTGTCTTGCTTCTCCCCAGGCACAGGTGGATGCATCTCACTGGCCCAACTCTCCTCGTGGGGAAGGTGAGTCAGAGAGGTGCTGGGACTTGCTCAATCCCCAGCGCCTGGGAGGGTGAATGGTTTGGCTCTTCACTAAAATAATTTCCTGCCCAACGTTCTGTGTTTTCATATGAGAGCATGAATCCATTGTTATGCATGGCGGAGAAGCTAATTTCTCCATTCATGCCTCCTGAGTGAGGGTCACGAGAGGCCCTGTAGTGTGACCAGCACCCGAGAGGAAAGAACGGCCGGGCTGTGATGGTTTTATCAGGCTATGATTAGTTAGTGGATTAAGGATTCCTGTGAACAATAGATGCGAGTGACAGGAGTGTGCCGTGCACCGGGAGCATGTTAACGGACGATTGCAGTTTATTACCTCTTTCTTTTTCTCATCAAATGAATATTTTAAAAATTCTCCAGCGTTTGATCCTTTGTTAAGGCTGGAATTCGCATGTTTGCTGTTTTGTTCTGGTTACAATAGTAACCAGCTGATTTTCAGCAAAGGAACAGATGGTTCTTGCTACTCAACCTCAGCCAGAGTCCCTCTGCCTGTCAGTTATGATCTCACCAGCACGGTTTGGCACACCACTAGCCACAAGGTCAACTCTTTGTTTCCTGACAGGAAAAGTTCAGTGAATTGTTCGATTGTTAACCCCAAGGCTACGTCTACACTGCAGGCTTCTTGCACAAGAACTAGATCTTTTGCAAAAGTTCTTGTGCAAGAGCGCGTCCACGCTGCCATGCACTTTTGCACAAGAGAGTGCACACTGCCATGTGCTTTTGCACAAGTGGGCTGTGGCCAGGCTGGTGAAGCTGGGCCACCGGGTGCTAGGAAGCCTGCGCTGGAGGTTCTGTCGTGCGGAACCTCCCGTTGTCCTGCCAACGCCTGCGGCACAGGCCTCTCCGTGCGTTGCAGGGGGCTTGGACTCTGACAGCTGGGGGCTCCCTGCCTGTATTGCAGCAAAGTCCGTCCCCGCTGGTCTGAGGAACCGGCCTGGCAGCTCCCACCGCTCTGCCAAGCAGAACAAGTACTAGCGAGGCAGCCATGTTAGTCTGGGCTGGCTGAAACAAAAGGCAGGACGATGCAGCCCTGGAAAGACTAACACGATGGTTTGTTAGGGGATGAGCTTTCGGGGGCCAGACGGAGGAAGTGGGCCAGGCCCGGAAAGCTCATCACCTAACAAACCATCTTGCTAGTCTTTCCAGTGCTGCATCGTCCTGCCTCTTGTTCAAGCAGAACAAGGGCCTTCTCCGCAGCACACACCAGGGGGCGTCCGTGCCTGCAGTTTGCTGGGCTGCCTTGTAACCTGTGGGCGGCAGGATCCCGGGATGGAGACAAACAGGATTCTTCACACCCCGCATGGTTCCTGGGGGCTGCACCTCCCAGCCCTCCAGCTCTGCGTTCTCCCCGGGCCCTCGGCACCATCTGCGGTGGCTTCAGCAGGCCAGCCATGTGTGCAGACCCCGCGGGGCAGGGACAGGGGTTCCCAGTGACCAGGCAGCCCCCTTTCAGCAAAGCAGTTCAGAGAAAACATCTTAGAGCAACAAGCCAGCCTAGGTGCCTGGCTGCCCAGCAGGACCCCCCTCCCTGCAGCTCTGGGGATGCTCGCTGCTTCGGGTTCCTCTGGAGCCTGCGGCCTGGTCAGCCTCTCCCTCACCAGGCTCCCCATGCCACTGGGCAAGTTAAGCTGCTCTGTGACTCAGTTTCCCCCTCTGTCAGTTTCGTGTGCTTAGGGCAGGGACTGACTTCCCGTGTCTGAGCAGCGCCCCCGGCCACAGAGCCCAGATCTTTGTAGTGGCCTCTCGGGGGTATAGTGATACAAAGCCTCACGCAGCACATGGAACCTGCTCATCTGTGCTTCTAAGTCCAAGTCCAAGACCCCAGCCTGGAGTGCTGAATGCATTCAGCGTGTGTGCGTTCCCCTCCCTGGCTCTGTAGCCCGTGGCATGAAGGGACGCTGCTCCAATGAATTATCATTGTAATTTGCACTGATTTCCCATGTCACTTGGCCCCGAGACCAAGCTGATTTTGCTGATTAGGAACAGGCGGTTGAGATGTAATGGGACATTAGCCGTAGGCATGTGTGCATTGGAAGGAGGCAATAACCGGCACAAACAGCCCGCACGGGAATGCAACTTGCACCTGGCTCGGTGCCTTTCCTGCCAGCCCCAGGTCTGATCCGCATGTGTGAGGAGGGGAGCAGCCTGTGAGAGCAGGAAGCAGAGTCTCCTCCGAGCACGGGGATAAGACCACAAGTCAGTGACTTAGGCCTTGTCTACACTTACCAGGAGATCAGCGCGGGGATCGCTCTCTTGACCCGTTACATCGACCACTGATCGTGCTCCTGTCAGCACCGGTGCTCCAGCGGCTTGTGAGGAGTAAGGAAGTGGATGGGAGAGTTTCTCACGCCCCCCTGCAATGGGAACACTGTAGTAACTTGAACGAAGGTACGTGGATTCCAGTTACGCTGTTTACCTAGCTGGAGTTGCATCCCTTTCGACAGGCTCAGCACTGAGCTAGATTGGCTCACGTTCTCTATGCTCACCTGAGCCTCGCAGCCCCCTGCAGCCAGTGCCGGAGCATCACGGAGCAGTGGCATGAGCAGTGTTAGCTCGGGCACTTGGCTGCCAGCTGGCCGGCGTGTAAAGCGGCACAACGGTGGAGCTAGAGGCTAGGGGAGGGGAAGAGAGGCAACGCTGGAGTGACCCCTCAAGCTGACACTGCAAGGAGAGAGCAATGGCCTCTCCCCCCTTGGGGCAAGGGCCAGCGTTGTGTGTTACGAGTGTCCAGCACATTGGGACCCTGGCCACCCTGGCTAGCCCCAGCATGCTTTGCTTCCCTGGCAGGCTGGCCAGTCCTGCTGTCACCCCACCTCTCTCGAGTGCCAGGCTCTGTGTGTGGAGCCTGGCTGCTGCTCTATGCACACGGGAGGGTTTTGTGCTGGTCGTGCTGAGCCAAGTGTTGGGAAAGATGAGCTCTCATATGTATTTCCCTGGGTTCCGGTCCTGCCTCTGCCACACACTCCCAATGTGACCCTGGGCATGTCACTTAATCTCTCATCATCTGTACAGACAGGGCTGTGTCCTTCCTCCCTCCCTCCTACCCCTTCTCCATCTGTTCACATGGCCTGGAAGCTGTTTGGGTCGGAGACGGTCTTTTGCCAGGTGTCTGTCAGGGTGGGAGCTAACTCTGTCTTGCTTCTCCCCAGGCACAGGTGGATGCATCTCACTGGCCCAACTCTCCTCGTGGGGAAGGTGAGTCAGAGAGGTGCTGGGACTTGCTCAATCCCCAGCGCCTGGGAGGGTGAATGGTTTGGCTCTTCACTAAAATAATTTCCTGCCCAACGTTCTGTGTTTTCATATGAGAGCATGAATCCATTGTTATGCATGGCGGAGAAGCTAATTTCTCCATTCATGCCTCCTGAGTGAGGGTCACGAGAGGCCCTGTAGTGTGACCAGCACCCGAGAGGAAAGAACGGCCGGGCTGTGATGGTTTTATCAGGCTATGATTAGTTAGTGGATTAAGGATTCCTGTGAACAATAGATGCGAGTGACAGGAGTGTGCCGTGCACCGGGAGCATGTTAACGGACGATTGCAGTTTATTACCTCTTTCTTTTTCTCATCAAATGAATATTTTAAAAATTCTCCAGCGTTTGATCCTTTGTTAAGGCTGGAATTCGCATGTTTGCTGTTTTGTTCTGGTTACAATAGTAACCAGCTGATTTTCAGCAAAGGAACAGATGGTTCTTGCTACTCAACCTCAGCCAGAGTCCCTCTGCCTGTCAGTTATGATCTCACCAGCACGGTTTGGCACACCACTAGCCACAAGGTCAACTCTTTGTTTCCTGACAGGAAAAGTTCAGTGAATTGTTCGATTGTTAACCCCAAGGCTACGTCTACACTGCAGGCTTCTTGCACAAGAACTAGATCTTTCGCAAAAGTTCTTGTGCAAGAGCGCGTCCACGCTGCCATGCACTTTTGCACAAGAGAGTGCACACTGCCATGTGCTTTTGCACAAGTGTGCGTCCACACTGCCATGCGCTTTTGCATAAGAGAGTCCATACTGCTATGCGCTTTTGCACAAGAGCGCGTCCACGCTGCCATGTGCTTTTCCACAAGAGAGTCCACACTGCCATGCGCTTTTGCACAAGAGAGTCCACACTGCCATGTGCTTTTGCTAAAGAGTCCACACTGCCATGTGCTTTGCACAAGAGTGTGTCCACACTGCCATGTGCTTTTGCACAAGAGAGTCCACGCTGCCATGTGCTTTTGCGCACGAGAGTCCACACTGCCATGCGCTTTTGCATAAGAGAGTCCATACTGCTATGCGCTTTTGCACAAGAGCGCGTCCACGCTGCCATGTGCTTTTGCGCACGAGAGTCCACACTGCCATGCGCTTTTGCACAAGAGAGTCCACATTGCCATGCGCTTTTGCACAAGAGCGCGTCCACGCTGCCATGTGCTTTTCCACAAGAGAGTCCACACTGCCATGCGCTTTTGCAGAACAGCGCGTCCACACTGCCATGTGCTTTTGCGCCAGAGCGTGTCCACACTGCCATGTGATTTTGCGCAAGAGCACGTCCGTACTGCCATGTGCTTTTGCACAAGAGCATGTCCACACTGCCATTGACACTCTTGTGCAAGGAAGCTCTCATAGCCATTCACAGAATGGCCATCAGAACACCTTTGCTTTTTCTGATAGGGGTTTCTTGCGCAAGAAACCTGTTGTCCGTCCATACGCGCCTTTTTGCTCAAGAGCTCTTGCACAAGGCTTATTCTTCATAGAAAGAAGAAAAACTCTTGCGCAAAAAGCCCTGTCTTCTGACAATCTCCTGTACTTTTTCTTGTGCAAAAACTCTGCAGTGCAGACGTAGCCCAAGAGAGCAGTGACACCAGCTTCTTTTCAGTTTGCAGTGAAAGCCACTTGCTGCAAAATCACATCCTTGGAATTCATACTTCCTATGTGTAGTGACCTTAGATGGATAATGATGGACTGCCTGCATGAAGAGCTGTGCCAGTTCCTTCTGTGATGGCCATGTGTCATTCTTTTCACCCGTTGGCTTTGCTGCTGCAAAGCAGCCACAGGTTCACTGCTTCTGGGAGTGCTACCGTGGCCGAGAAAAAGGTGAGTCCAAGAGAACTGATCTCCAGCCAAGTGAAGGCTTTAAAGGTCTGCAGTCAGATGCTATGGGGCAGCTTGTACAGGGTATGGGAGATAGAATCATGGAACACTAGAACTGGAAGGGCTCTTGAGAGTCATCCAGTCCAGTGCCTGCCCTCACGGCAGGACCAAGCACCATCTAGACCATCCCTGACAGGTGTCTGTCCAACCTGCTCTGAAATATCCCCAGTGATGGAGATTCCACAACCTCCCCAGGCAATTAGTTCCAGATGATTTGCTTTGGTCTTGCTGCCCATGTGGTGCATGCTGGAGTAACTACAGCTTCCTTCAGATCTTCATGCTCTGCATTGGCTCCTCCGCCTGGCGGGTCAGATTGCCTTAGCCTCATCTGAGTGACCTGCAGCAGTCCTACTTCGCTGGGCTCCAAAGAAACAGACTTTGCATCTTATTCCCTTGATTTTTAAATAGTTAAGTCACCCCTATTCCTGAGCCCTAGCCATGGCACGAAGAAGGATGCGTGTCAGACGTTCATAGCACCAGGTAGGATTTATGGGGCCATACGCAGCACTATTGAACTGGTGGCCCTACCCCCGATGGCAGCTTAAGGGGGGCAACTTTTAAGAGACTTGATTTTCTAATCTTCAGCAGCACACTAATGAAATGTTTGTAAAACAAATTGTAAACTAAGCGCCTGTCGAATAACACAGTAAATCCAGAAACTGCCAGGACATACCTGGGTTGGCAAATGCCTGTTCAATGGCTTCATTGCCACTGGAATGGCTCTTGCACAGGTTCAGTGTGCTGCTAAGAGGGCTGCCAGGCTGTGTCACTTGTAGTTAACCAGCTCCTCTCCGGAGAAAGCGGAGCCACAGAGCAGGGATAGGGAGAGGCAGGTGGGAGGGCATTAAGACCCAGCGGTGCCCCAAATTTTCAGATACCCTACACAGCTGTGTATTCTGCATACTGGTAAGGATGGCCTTAGCACCAGCAACCTAATCTATGTGCTTCTTGTGTGCCTCTATGTACATCTCCCTTCTACAACCCAGCACTTGTTCCCTGCTCACTGCACACGTTTCCCATCACTGCCTGCTCTCCACCCAGACAACAGCAGCTGCAGTCCTGCAATGCAGTGATCTTTGTAGATGCTGCATGAAAGATTTTCCCAGAAGACAAGAAATCCCACTAACCCCATGTCTTACCAGACCCTGGGGAAACAGAACCATGGCCTGTTTCTGAGAGGCCCTGGAAGTCTTTCTGTTGGTAAACCTCATGCAGATTTAATTCTGCACAAATAACTATTGAAACAAAAGGAGGCATTTAGTTAGGATGTATATTTACTCATCCACCATGGCCTGCTTCAAGAGGAGTCACATCAGTTCTTCATTCGCAGTCCTGGCCATGTTTCAGGCTGATGTCAGTCTTGGAAATAACACCAGCTGGAGAAAGACACTAAGGGCTTGTCTCCGCTACATAGTGGATCCACGCTGCAACAATTGATCTACCAGCCGTTGATTTATCACAGCTGCTTCGACATGATAAATTGACCTCCGAGCACTCTCCCGTTGACTCCAGTACTCCACCAGGATGAGGAGAGTAGGCGGAGTCCACGGGAGAGCAGCTGACACCGTTACTGCCTGGAAAACACCTCGCTACGTGGGTCGAAGTATGTGGACTGTTTGGTAGCTGAAGTTGCGTATCTTAAATTGACGGGGGATCATAATGTAGACGAGACCTAAGTTATGGGAGCAAGAGCTCGAGTTCTCCAGCAACTTGCTTTTGCACCTTCTCTTCAGAGCAGGGTGCGGGGTGCAGGGAATGCCTGAGCAGGGAGGGGTCACACAGGAAAGTCAGGAAAGACAAAAGCTCCCTGTCACCTGTGAGTGAGCACGTCACACAGCGACCACTCCAGACTTGGCATCTCGGGCCTTATCCTCAGAGGCAACCTGCACAGCGTCTTCGAAAGAAGCACCAGGAAGCTGACATTCAAAACTTAGCTCGATACTAAACGTGGTGGACTGAGCAGACCCTGAGTTGATGGCCTGTCACAACAGTCAGTAACGCAGGGATCCCCATTGTGTTCTGTGACTTCAGGGGGGTTTATGGGCCACTTCACCTCCATGTGTCCCTGCTTGTCTTTAACTGTAATGCTCTGCACACCTTTCCCAGGCCTGAGGAGGAGCCTGGACGCTCATCTCTCTCCCCAGCAGAAGCCGGTCCAAGAAAAGCGTTTCCCTCCACTGCCCATGGCACAGTTCTGCTTCTGGGCCAGGCTTGGTTTAATGATCACCAGAAGCTTGGACACCTCCAAGGCATGCAAGCAGCAGCAGGTGACTGGAGGGCCCTGCCTGAAGGAGGCAGAGAAGTGACTCCAGCCCCCCATGCAGGGGAGAAAAGTGGGCTCGGAAGCAGTGTTGTCAGAGGGGAGTCACCGTCTGCTCTGGGAGCTTTGACAGGGAGACCGCCTGCAAGCCGCGTGCCAAGGAAACCCGAGGGCGAGGCCATCTCTCCATGGCGAGAGCAAGGCTAGGCCAGGATGCGGGAGAGGAGGAACCCAGCTGACCTCTTCTCAGCCTGCTCTCATCAGGAGTGGTCCAGAAGAGCCCCTGGCAGCACAGCCCCCTCCCCTTGTGCTCCTGACCATCATGGGTTCGCTGTGTCCCTTGCCACCCGTGTATAATCCGTTGCAGGCAGCATCTGGAGGATGCATGCGAGCACCACAGCACACTCGATGGAGCAGTTCCTAGGGCCTGCGTGCAGAACACGAGCCTTGGATGCACATTCACTCTGACCTTCCTTCCTCGCTGGCTAGCCTGTTCTCGTCCCGACCCAGGACTGCCCAGTCCTTTGCATTTGGAGCAATTGGCTTTCTGAAAGCTGCCCAGCCTGGCACTTCCGTTCATCTCCTGCTCCAAACAGCCCCAGCCACGACGCAGCAGCCTGCACTTCCCAGCCTGCCACGGCACTGAAAGGCTGCTGTGCAGCATGTGGCCATGTGCTTTGCGCAGCCGGGACCGCTCATTTCTGCTCTGGTGCTTTGCTTTGTCCGCACCAGGTCCTGGGGACTGAGCCGTCCGAGTCACCAGCACCTGGGATTAATGGGAAGACGTTTCCTCCATTTGAGATGAATTCTGA